AGTCAATAGTTCTGTGACAATATATATATATATATATATATATATATATATATATATATATATATATATATATATATATATATATATATATATATATATATATATATATATTGTCACATAACTATTGACTTTATTCCCATGTTGAGTGGTCTAGTTATTTGCCTTTATTAGGAAGATTCGACATTTTTCCCGTGTTGGGTGGTCCGGTTATATATCACTAACGAAAGAACAAAGTCAACTCCTTACTCATATACTAAGTGGGCAAGTCAAACATATCCCACGTACAGGGTGGTTTGACTGGCTAGACATGTCCCCCATGTTTGGTTGTCTACCTACAATCCTTCAACAGAAATGTATAATAAATTATTAAACTATATACTGACTAGGAAGGTTAGACATATCCCCGTGGTGGACGATCTAGTTATGTATACTCGTGGTGCGCGTTCTTGGGCAGATTGGATTTGTTCCTCGTGTTAGGTCGTCTAGTCATATGCCACTAACAAGAGAATAAAGTAGTAAACTCTTAGCTCAGATACTACATAGGTAGATCGGTCACGTTCCCCATGTTGGGTCGTCTGGCTGGCTAGCAAACTCTAAACAAACGACGCAGGTTAGACATGTCCTCGTGTTGGGTGGTTTAGTCGGATGCTCATTATGTAAAGGGTAAACTGTTAATCCTTTACTTACATAACTGGACATTGTGTGAAAAACAGGCAAAAAAAGTCATATGTGGGTGTGGTGAGAGGTGATAATCTTGAATAGCGATTATACTTTCCTTTGTCATTTAGTGTTGGGGTACCTTTTTGTATCTTAGTTGCATAAATGCTCGATCAGTACTTCAGAACTAGGTAGAGTAGCTTTGGTTGTGGGTAGTGAGCATAGGGTGGGGTGACCCTAGCCACAAGCGAGGGATGGTGTAAATCTTGGGAGCACGTTTTTCTGAAAGAAATGTTATTCGGATGGCCACTAGACATGAAGGGTGAGTCAGGTGTTAAATTTAAGTCATAATCCTAGGAGAGTTTTCATTCGATTTGGGTTAGCAAGAGCTTTGGGAGTCTACTTTCTTAGGGGAAGTACCTTTTTTTTCCTAACTCTTCAAAAGTCATATTAGTTTAGTCTTGTAAAATGTTAGCGGTTCACCTCGATTAGGGAAAACGTTGTCAAAATTTATGTTAACCTCTGGTGCATGCTCAAGAGGGGGAAAAATGGTTAGATTTGGAACCAAGTTGTAATAAAGTGTACTCTCTGTTCATTTCGAATATATGAATGGTGGCTTAGCTTATATTGTGATACAAATTAAATCGACTAAAAAGTTGACTCATTTCAGGCTTTCAGTCGGATTCTTCGAGAATATTTATTTTCTGGAATCGGTCGACAACAGTTCGGTTTGCGCACTCAGGAAACGGACCCTTTAGGGGAAAGGATATTCCTCTGGTTTTCATCTCAACATTTTTTGAATGACTATGCAAGAGTAGCAAATAAAGGACGGATTGAGTGATGTCTAGTTGAGAGTGGTTTTAAAATAGGGTGTATGGGAATACACGAGAGGTTTGGAGGGTTGACCACGTCCATACATTGAATGTATCCTCATTGAAATGTCTGCGCACGATGTGTTGAAAGCATGTATAAATTCATGAAGTTTATGTGGATGTGCAAAGTAGTTGATGGACAAACCACATTTGTGACAGTGAAAGTGGTCACTTGACACCATAAAAGCCCCTCGTCTGTGTGATGCCCCTCCTTTGCCTTTGACTGCATCAGCCCGGTCGCATAAGGTCATCCAACAATTAGGCTGCCACCTAACAGGACATAGAGCGAACACTCCCTTAAAGCACAGTTTACTTGATTCTTGAACGAAATCACGATAAGAGACACAATAGTGCAAAGAGGTGTTTGGTCTGCTTGTGATTGGATGAATGGGTCCCTTACAAACACTCTAAATCTTTGCTTCAGTCTAGTAACCAGCTCATTATATGAAGGGTTCGTTCAATGTCCCATTATGGGATGCCCCAGAGTGGGCTCATCGCGACGGTCGAGCAACCCTCCACATAGTCACATATTATCACAAAGGGGGACCCTTCGTGATACCTCTTACCTAGTGGCTGGCGAGTTAGCCACCTATGGCCTCGATGAGCCACTGTATAACCGTTATGCTTTGACTCGTAAATACCCGGACAAAGATTCAGTGACACGATTTGCTCATTTAATTGTTTGGTGGGATGTGGATATTGAGGATAGGAAGGTCATTGTGTTGTTGTCACCATCCTAAGTTCCTAACGCTTCCTATCGATAGAGTCACCCTGTTTAGCTCTCAGCGCAGGGTGCAAATGAGGGTTGGGTACACAACTGCATCCATGATCACTCGATTCTAAGAGGTTAACTTCTAGCGCACAACTCAGCGGACACTTGTGTGTCGATTTCAGCCCTCCATACCATATGGGGGTGCATGGCTCTGGGTACCACAAAACACGCAGCCATATTGGTCGTTGATGCCTTTTTGCATAACTGGTTGCTATGGCGACGCCCATGCCGCCACACTACTTATGCGAAGTTGTGTGAGTGGTAACTGATTGTTCTGTCATTAAGTTATGAGACGGAGTACGAAAAAGGGACTAGGGGCAAGTTGTGTCCACATTCTGTACTGGTGGAAAGAATATCACGTGGTTAAACTGACTGTCCTAATCCATCGGCATAAGGTCACGCTTGAGAGATCAAGGTATCGATTCGTGTGTGGACTTCATTCCGCCGTTAGCTGCAGGTAACCTTCAATGCCCTCATGCTATAACTCACGAGGAATGACCTCGGCGGGTCCACCTCTCCCACTGCAATTAAAAGCTCTCGGGTATGAATTAATAGCTCGGTGCGGATATGCCAACCCAAGGATGGTGACAACTACCACGAGTGGAGGTAAGTTATACCTTGCGAGACTCTATCTTGGCGTAGGAGTTTGTGAGAGGAATAGTTGGCGCACTTGGTCAGAGCGGCGCTGCTCACACGCTGCCGCATCAGGTATGTCAAAATCATGTGTAACGTGGCGAGGAGGGTCCTTGTGTGGGACCGATGCGCTCGAAAGGTGGTGTCGTTGTCGGGGATATTTGTTACTTACTTCGGTCCTATGTGAATGGACGTAGCCAGGTTGAGTTGATGTGCCTGACAAAAGAACAACTTTGATTAGACTAACACGATTAATAACATGATAATGTAACTAATGCGAAGAGCATATTAAAAGTATTGTACTACATAAGATGTAATGTTTTATTAGAAGTTCGTTTCATTCAAAAACTTATGCTATGATTTCGAGACTAGCTAACGGTAGTAACCCAACAAAGGTTCTGATGTTGCATGTAGTAATCATTTAAGGGTGAGAGTGAAGTCTCGATTAAGTGAAGACACCGAATGGTTAGTTGTCTTAGGTTTGAAAGAAGGTGGTTAGTTGCTCGGATATTGGGCACGTGACGCTTATCTAAGAGGCTGAGAATTGGTGTCGTTTGAACCATGTTGATCAAAAGTTGTTTCGGTTGTATTTGAATGTTAGTGATGCACTGTTTTGGTGAAATTTGTAATCTACCTACAAAACTTGGTTGATCCGAAGGGAGGCGTAAATTTGGAATACGCTTAGCCTATGAATCCCCCCTGAAGGC